TACTGCGCGCGGAGCTGCGCCAGCCGGGGGAGGATCCCTCGCTCCACTTCCTCGCTCGCGAAGGCCGCGGCGAGGTGGAGGTGGCGGAGGTCCAGGGGGTAGTAGCGGCGACCCCCCGCGGCCGAGGAAGGGCTGGGGGGCCTTTCGGCCTCCGCGTCCTCGGCCGGGCCGGAGGGGAGGGAGGGCTCCCCGCTCGTCACATCCTCACAGGGGCGCAACGCGTAAGCACGGAAGAGACGCATGCTGTGAAAGCACCGCCAGAGGCTTTGCTCCAGCACGGCTTCTAAATCGACACAAAAGTTAAAAAGGCGCATCCTACTATTCACATTCGCCTTCCGCGCAGTAAAAGGTCTTTTCATGGGTGTAAGGGAAGAAAGCGGAATCGCCGAAATGCTTCCGGGATCCTGCGAGACCTCGTCAAGCACGCGCCGCCAATCGTCTTTTACAACATCTGCAACGTTTTTGACAGAAAAATGGCAGGCTGCGCTATTTTTAGTGTTGCTACTGAAGATGTTGCTGTTTTGTCGCTCAAAAAGTGCCTTTTGTGCTTGCGGTGAAAATCGTTTGAAGAGTTCAAAGCCATCAACACCGCGAAGAATAAGGATATTGCCATCATCATCTTCATAATAAAGCATTAACGGCAGCACGGCTGGGGGCATTGTCAAACGCGCTCCTACGCCACCATTTTGAACGGCCAAGGGTGCAGAGGGTCCTATCGAAAAAGGAGAAGAGATAGTCGCATCGCAATTCTCTTCTATTTTATCTTCATAGGCGGTGCAGCCAACGGAGGAAAAAGATGTCGGACAAAGTAAGCATAAGATACGTTGTATTTCATAACGCATAGAGGGGTCCTCGACGGTGAATTTGGGACGTTCGTGGAGGAAAAAGAGCTTTATGAAGCGTTCTCGCAGAGGAATAAACGAAGACAAATTATTTTGTGTGGATTCTTTATTGCTTTGATCTTCTTTAATTGCCGTCGTCGTAATTGGTGAAGCCTCACACACGCTATGAAATCCTTTCCACGAGGTTTTAGCTGTTAAAGTAATATTTAGAAAGGAAAGAAGATTCTCTTCGATCTTGTTTAGCAACAGTGAAGCCACGCTATTGCTAGTGCAGAGGGGTGGATTTGTAATATAGATTCCTCTCTCTGATGATCCCGTTGTTTTTTCACCTAGATTGGATAGATTATCCAACGGAAGTGGATAATTTAAATACTTTCCGTTTATATCATTCGTACCGGATGCTACGCTCGCCTCTTTTACTTCATTATGCGCAGCAGCGGAAGAAGAAGTGGAGGAGGAATCAGTCTCGGGGGCGGTGGAGAACAACAGACGCACTGATTTTGGCAAAATCGAACCACCAAGCCGTCTTGCTAAGATGGATTCTTCTTTTCCCTTATTATTAAACTTTTTGAAAAAATTGTCCTCCTCCTCGTTGTTGGTGAGATCTCCCCACGTATCCAACTTTGCGCAGAGCTGCGCGTGCGTTTGAAGCGTTAACGTCGAAGGAAATTCTAAACCTCTTCCTTCATCTTTTAGATCATCCCCCATAGGCAGAATCGAGGACGGTGATAAGCCTCCCAAAGTCTCCATTAACATTTGCGCAGGAATGCAAAAATGACGTCTTGTAATAATATCAGCCCTTGATAATTCTAAGCTGGAGCGTTTCCGCATTAAGAGATACGCCTCGCGGCGTTGTTTGAGTACGTTTTGTCGTTTAGCCTCCTCCTCTTCCTCCTTTGCGATCTGCATGAGTGCATCATGCGCGGCAACAGGGTCTTTTGCAATACGAATAGAAGAAGACAAATTTTCTTTATTTTTAATACCCGAGGAAGAAGAAGATCCTGACTGGGAAGAAGGAAAAGAAGGAGAATTAGAAGGAAGAACCTCTACTTTTACGCGATCGCACCACTGACGAACTTTAAAAAGTAGCTTTTCTCGCGGGCGTTGCCGCGAGATGTGATTTTCTAGCACTCGCTGAGAGGAAGAAATAGCCCCCTTGAGGTCCTCGTTAAGGTTCAAATACACCGGAAAGGAACTTTTCACCACAACGCGAGTGTGGTTTATCTTCTCGAGTTTTTGTTCAACACGTTTTGGACTCTTCACAACGTTTCTATTCGCTGCTAAAGGAGCTACGTGAGAAGGATCTGTGTTAGAATCCTGAGAGCTCCGCGAATCATTTCCCTCACCGATCAGTGAGAGTACGGACAACCCTAATTTATTGTAATTATTTAATTCTCTCCTCGCCTCGCCGGAAAAAACTGCTTCATCCCACAAAAAACTCTCCCCTGTGCCGAAATAATGTGCCATTCTTTCCATGGTAAGGGGCGGGAAGTTTTGTTGGAAAAGTTCAGGCAACAAAGAAGGATTAGTGAACGGACTCACCGACAAAAGATTGCCATTTTTATCATTATTGTTTTTTTGTGGGGTATAGAATCTGCTAAGGGAAGCCATAATGCGTTTGTTAAGCACACCCTGAATGGATCCTGAAAGGGGTTGGTTAGGTCCTATCGTCCAATCCGCTGCCATCGTCGAGGATAGCGCGTTCGTTTGATTATACACATTTTTATCCCCCGATGCAACGCTTCCCATTCCCCCTGTCGCGGTGGTCTCCATCGTGTGATTCCTGTCGTCGTTTCGGGGTTTGTTCGAAAACGAACCCTTTTGAGGGTCCAGCTGAAGTCGCGTTCGCAAGGTCTCCCGCAGCTCTTTCAGCCCAAAACTCCCGTCGAGGGTCCCCCAGGGCGGGCCCGTCCGGGGCGGCAGCGACGAGGCCTCCAGATTACTCTCCCCCGCCGACGTCTCCTTTCGCGCGTCGCGCGCGGCTTCCAGGAGCATCCACGCGGCCCGATTCTGGTGCCCGATGGTGTTGTTCAGGTTATCCAACGTCGTGTTGGTCGCGCTGAAGACGCTGTTGCTGTTGCTGTTGCAGGGGTTGGCCATCCCCATCACCCCCGGCAGCCGCAGGGCGCTGA